AGCGGCGGCAATACCGTAGAACTGTCCACGAACTGCAGTGGGACCGGACTTCGCGGCGAGCATTCCAAGACAATTGCCAGGGCCTGGGTGCCATCGGAATAAGTTGGCGAATCCTGTTCAGACGCATTGCAACGCACCAAGCTCGCCGAAGCTCAGGAAGATGCCGTATAGCACAGCGAACCCGGCGATGTGATTGGTCAAGCTGCAGAAAAGCTGTGAATCTTATACGCTCAATGGCTCAGGCTATGGATGCGCTTACGTCTTGTAGAGGCCGCTCATGATGAAGCCGAAAATTGCCTGCAAGACGAGACCAGTGATCTAGACCGCAACCATCAGCGGGCTGCAAAGGAAATTGTATAAGCACTTCTGACCATCGTGTACTTAGGCCCGAGATAGTCGACAACAAATGCGCCTCCGATAGTACCGGGCATGTAGAACAGGCTGGGTGGACAAGATCAGTACGCGTCAGGTTGCTACTACTGGCTGTACTCACTTGATAACCACACCCCACCCGAAGACAACAGTGAGAGCTGCACTGTTACCAGTGATGCTGTGAGAAACCTATCAGTAGGCGGCGCCACAACATAGAAGGTTTGTATATACTTGTTCACGACAGTCGAAGAGTATATACCGAACTGTGGCGGTGGCACATCAGCAATTGATATTAGAACAGGGGAAACCCAACGATAGCTACCGGGTAGGTAATGAAGTCGTAGATGAACCATGTCAAAGAGATGGCCGAAAGGCTGACCCAGTAGCGACGGATGATAAGCCAGTACGGGACTTTAGCGTTCGCCATCGAATCTCGCTTGAACCGCGTGGGTTCCTCCATGCGCAGTCGCCAAATAAAGACAGCGACAGCAGGGATGACACCCAGACCGAGTGATAGACGCCACACAGCACGGAGGTGATTCTCGCCGAAGCTAAGTTGCTGCGCATTAGGCCAAATGCATTGATCCGAGCTAGGGAAACTCACATCCAGAACAGCACCAGTGGGACGAAAGAGGACACGACGAAACCAAAGTCAATCATGGAGTCTGCGTGTTGTCATATTGTCAGTATAATTCATCATCTGTCTCTGTTTTTCGTTGGTGCTTACTCGTCGCGAGAGCGAACCAGCGGTGTTGAGCGTTCTTGCTGATGCCAGGCTCCTCCGATTGTTCCGAGGCGGCCACGGAACCACATGGGTACTCCGCACCAACGCCAATACCAAGGAGGAATCTGAGATAGAATAAGACCCGTGAAGCAGTGGGCGCTGTAAAAGTGCGTACCGCATTGCACTCAGCATAGAGAGCATGCCGCCAATGCTGTGGTGCGCGCCCGACGACGCAGCCGAGAGACCAGAGAACAGTGCGACAATGCCGGCAGCCAGCATCTGCGCGCGCTGTTAGAACAGTATGAGACGGCAGAATCAGAAACGTGCCATTCCGAATTTTCGACCCAGCCTGTCCGAGAGGTAGCCGAAAACAAGCATGCCGACGACAGTACCGGCAAAGGTAAGACTGGACAGCGTCGTGCTGTAGTTGTGCTTGTCGACTTCGTCTGCGCCATAGATGCGAGTCAAGACTAGATAAGAGTCGCGTGAGCCTTCGCACGTCTGCTACATAGAGCGGGATACCGACGCGTGTTTACTATTATGCTCAAGTCAGTGCATATAGTCGCGAAAAGTGCTCTCTGCTACACACCATCTCCAATAACACCATTCGCATAACCGTCAGAGAATAGAGCGGTTCCACACCTGCGCAGTCGGTGAGCTCTGACCGGTGAGATAAGATAGAGGACGCGACGTACGCAAAGATCAAGGAGACCTGAGAAAAGCGTGGTTTCCTTGCGACCTCGGACATATTTTCTAGAATTGACACCCACAGTGAAGGGGGCAGAAAACGAGGGAGAGGATTGGAGGGACGCCCATGAACGAAGCAAGGGAACTCATATACTGTCGATGACAGTCGTCCCGCAACCGCCCATACGCTAAGTTGGGAACTCGTGATGGCCCTGGGAGATTGTCATATCCGGAAAGTGACATCGGCGCACGTTCGTGATGTCCCACCTCTCGCTGGTGGACGCAGCGTTCCATAGCCGACCCATTGCCAACAGTCCCACATGGAGAGGTACGTTTCCCCGCCTTTCGGAGCTAGATACCCCAGCTGTCATTGGTGTTTACAGCCTCCTCTCCTCATCTGCTCCTACGCTCGGTGTACGCGCTCCCCGGCTTCACCAACGTTGTTCATACGTCCAGGCCGCCCCGCCATGATGCCGACGATGCGAGCAAACACAAACAGTTCATCCTGGAAGACAGGCCGAATATTCCAGCAAGCCGTCGGGCCTCGAGTCTGCCACCCGGACAAGCTAATGTCTCTATTTGCTCGAGCGGTATTCCAAATAAATAAATGATGTCAGACAACAATGTCAATCTCCTCAAAAATTCACCGGCCTCCGAACGGCATCGAATCATGCGATTGCATTTCAAGCGCCGAATACTTTATGTAAGCCTGCTCCTCTCCTCGACCGCACCGGTACCACCGGACCTTTCCCGTTATCGTCCACATGGATCTTCTCTCTGTGTCTTCATGGACCCGACACGCTGCTTTGCACAGAACACAACAAGTGGGACTCATGGATATATCAACGAAGGAAGCTTTCAGCACCATGATTTTTACTGAGCGCCGAGTCGGTCCAGTCGCCTCCGCAGTTCGTACGTGCATCTCACGGCTGTCTCCTCTTCATCCGAGCAACCAGGACGACTGGACCAGGCGATCGCCACTGCTGAGCGGATTTGTCTTCAGATAAGAGCCACCTTCTTCGAATTTCGCACGCACCACCCATATTCCGGCTGAGCAGTCTCGGTCGTGGCACACGAGCTCTGGCACCGGCGAGGGAGTGCCTGGAGCATGCTGAAAGTAAAACCTCACGCAATGCAACGGGCCCATCGCACGTTCTTCGGATATAGACGATCGGCTTGTCGAGGCCACCGTTCGAGTAACTACAATTTTCTGCAGGGGGTGATCGTACCGAAACTTCTGCTTGCGAACGGCTCGATCTCTTTGTGAAACCCTTCCCTTATCAGTCGTGGAGGGGCGTAGTGGCAACGCCGCCCACCAAGAATAGCAAGTAGCTTCAGATAGTGGTCAGCTGCGCTCACCTGTCCTACTCAGCGGTATGAACCTTCTCTGGCATGCATAGCCTTCCTGAGAGCATATACACAGGCACGTTTGTGATCCTCTTGCCTCGCGGAATGTCAAGAAATAAGGTTTCAATCTCTTCATTATACCGAGGAGCACGTAAACTGCCTTTCATGTCGGGAAGCCACTCGATAGCGCCCCGTGGCCGTCATGGTCGCACTGGGCCATGTCGTACATTCCAAGATCTCCGCTGCCGTTCACACGCGGGGTTCGACGGAAATGGCCCAATTACCAATAGACATGTCTCCGTGAGTTCGTACGCACCATCCCCATTCGAATCTAATTCAGAAAGGAGCTTCTTAGTGAACAATGCTGCGATGTCTGATGTATAAGGATGTCACAAGATACCTTTCGAGGAGGTCGGCGATGTCATTCAATACAATCCATTGATATTAATTGAACAATGAACCTCAGGACATACACGCTCTGAGCTTGTATGTCGTCACGAGGTTCCCTCTGAGCATCGCAGGATTTACCCTTCGACGTCAATGTATGGCGGCCTCCCCCTTATCTGCTCCGGCGACACGGTCTCCTCTCCGGTCCATCTCCACATTTTACTCTGTCCAAGCCATTGTTGAGCGTCGCTCCGAGCTTCCCGACAAAGGAGGCGAGTCTCACTCCCGAGAGCCCAGCTCCGACAAACGACAGAGACTGATATATGGCACACGCGCTAGAGGAGTGAGAGTGGTACAAAATACCCACATCCGTAGATTCACCGACAATTTGAGCGGTGCTGAAGAGTGACAAGACCGTGAAAGTGTACGAAAGAGGACATCGTTGACAAACGCGATGGAAGTAGCATATGACGTGGAAGAGGTCAAACGTTCCCGAGGGCAGATACAGTCAGACGATGACTGGCGCGATAGCAGGGTAGAACATCCACCGTCTCTCAAAAACATAGTAGCAAGCAGAGTCTTGATGCCACTTCGGCGAGTATCACGTTTGAGGGAATGAGTCTTGGATCATATCGTAGGAAAAACCATCACGTCAGATAGTCCAGGCCATTGTAAGGGTTACCACCATTACTGTGCGGAGCTATGGAAGCGTCGTCAGAGAAGATTTGGTACATCTGAGCTCTTACAATCAGTGACAAGTAAGGAATAGAGAAGTTGAGTTTGTTTCGCATTGAATATTGCTGTGCGCATAATACATAGTTCCCCCACTATGGGATTGGCAAAAATGCTTGTTCAAGAGGTCTTTGACAAGGTCAGTACCAATGAAACCACGACATCGCCATTCGAGCGCGGCGCCAAAGTTCTCGATGAAGGAGGCGAATTTCCCCTCTGAGAGTCGGGTTTCAATGAATAGTAGCAAATGACTGCCGTTTGCATTTCCGTGGAACATATATGCCACCGCAATAGTTTCTGCTAGAAGGCGGGATATAATGATTGGTGGCCTGAGAGGTAATGAGAAGAGGGATGCACGTTCAAGGAGCATACTGACGGCGCTGTCAGCTGGAGTCGTCAGTGTCGAAGTCTAGGGCCCACTGCCCAGGAATGAGTAGACCCCGTAGAACAAGTTTGAATATTTTCTTCGATTTGACATTGCAGTGACATTCTTCGCTGTCGTCGGATAAACGTCATCGAGGCTAGCCCAAGAACCTAGTCAGAATGTACGTCTGCGAGGAGAGCATCTCCGAAGCCGATCACCAAGATCGGGACTCCGGCCCATAACACGACGTGGAGACATGACATCACAATCGGAGTGATCATACTTTCATATCTATCATCACTTGCCCACAAAACCACATCCCGTAACAGAGTCTGTATGATTCGCCGCAAGAAAAATGAGCTCTCCAGAAGAGAAAGAAAAGATGATGGGCCTGGCCGGGAATTGAACCCGGGACCTCCTCCATATTACGTAATTTACGCCCTAAGAAGGAATCATACTACTAGACCACCAGGCCCTGATTGATTGGGACGAAATAGAGTATAATATCTGACCAGATTACTCTCGTCAACGATGGCGAGTTTCTCGCTTCCGTTTTCGGGTATCAACAATTGGTCTTTACCGACAATTCTTATCACTCCTTCGTTTGCAACGAGCAACGAGCAACGTGCTTCCACATATAAACCCAATGGTTGGCACTCGACTTCGATGACAATCATGATTCTATATCCGCGTATAATCCTCAATGCTGACCCTCATGTGACGCGATCACTGGACTTTCTTATGCTGCTTTATGTGCCTCGGATGGATGGATTCATCCTGTAGGCTTGCTGCACCAACCTCGCTGCCCAAGATCTGCATTGTCTTCGTACGCGACCTGATCTGCGCTTGCTTCTTGGACGCCGTTCTTCTGTTGCGGCTCTCGCTCCAATGTGTACCTGGGGCGCCCGATATATAGTCCGTGAAGCTTGCATTTGAAATATCGGAGAACGCTGATGCGGGTGAGGTGGGCGTAGCTGGGGTGAGTGGGCCATGCGTTCCGCTCGCTGTGCTCCTTGTACTACGTATGCTGTGGCAAGTTGACCTGCGTCTTCGCAAGCCTTGGCCCGACTCACGCGAGACATCCAGAAATGGGGACTGAGATTGGTCGGGTTGGTTGACCGTTGTCAATCGCGTGGTGCTCGACAGGGTAGCTCTGTCGGCCTTGTCTACAGGGGCTGTACTCTTGCGCTTGCGCAGAGTGTCGAATAATGCACCCATCGGCCGCAAGCGATGTTTGGCTGCCGCAGGCGGTTCGTCCAGGCCAACTACAGTGACACCAATGAGGGGAGCGTCTTCGCCGTGCTCTTCTTTCCTTCTGCCGGCGCGCAGAAATTTGCCCAATCGGCGTTGTGTAGGTGATGCGCTACCAGGATATGACTTTGCTTGTCTGGAGGCCCCGTTGCTGAGACCTTGCGCAGAATAGTTGTCGGCGACGTCTGGTGATTCTTCTCCTTCGTCTCGGTCGATCAATATACGAGCGCCGTTTGTATCCGTCGGAGTATGCTCTCGCACGATGACAATATCGAGCATCTTTGCGGCTTTACGATCCGAACGACGTTGGGCTCGCAGCTTTCTATCGTCAACCAAGTTCAAAGTGAATGGAGTTGGCACTGCGAGTGTGAAATGTGGCTCGGGTTCTGGTGAAGACGGCGGAGATGGAAAGAGAGACATAACTTCGTCGTGCTCTGCACGTGCGGAAGCAAGAGGTGGTCGCAGGTGAGCGATAGTCGGGTGCCTGTATCCCTCGATAACCAGTCGGGGGAGATTTGTCCGGATGGCAGTGTAAGGCGCACGACATTTATGTACATGTTATAAGTTGCCTCGCCTGCTTTGATCATCTTCACTTTAGCATTTCGAGTGGCCCTCAATGCCTTTGACGAAGGGCCGCCAACCTTATGTTAATTGAACAGGTGCTTGCCCCAGGCCACAGTGTATCACGTTCACTCCAACGTGTGAGCTTTGAAGCACAGTACTGAGTAGAATCTACTAGATATGATGTCCGAATTCTACCACGGCCCTCACTCGTGAGATCGAGTGATCGGAGATCTTCTTGAAAGTGTCACTACACCGTTCAATATTAGAGAGCCATCCCTCGTCTCTATCACGCTTCCATGAAAGGCATCGAAGATATTCGTATTATGTAGCGCAGTGGGTCATTCAGTCTTGAATTCTGCGTTCGAGGTGTCGAGAAATTTCGAAAGTTCTAGACAAACGCGACTCGATCATTTTGGAGGCAAGTGCGTGTCAGACTACCGGTCTAGTTCAAAAGAACCATCCTCGGATGACCGACTCTCCCGCTCTCGCTCTTGAATACCACATCCTTTCACCGCTTCGAACTCACTACTGAAATTGGTTGTCATGTCTTCTGCCCCAGCATTCCTCTCGTTGCGTTTATCAGACGCCCAGAACTCGTACTATAATGTCGACGACGATCCCGGGCTTTGGAAGCGGTCCAGCGCTCGCGAGCAGCGGGTAAGAGTCAGAGGTTATAACGAGGAAGCCGCCGCCGCTATCCGAGCTTGTGCTAACTCTGGAGAAGACTTTATCGACATTCCATGGGGCTCAGTCGACCTGGTGGTAAGCAGATACTCCACATAGGCATATTTCTGTGCCTTACGGGCCGCGGCTTGATGCATGACAGGCGTGCATCATGCGCCGTCTTGAAGAACGTCTCAAGATACCGAACATATACTGGGTGGGTAGATGTCAATTCGCAGTGCTGCAAGCAACACCTGAGAACGCATGGGGTACCAGCGGCTGGCCGGTGACGGAAAAATTCTCCGCCCTGAAATATTCACGTGCATCCATTTACTGTTCAGAGGCAGGGACCTCGTGGGTGGGTATCCTATGGGAATCTTACTTAGTCTCAAGAGAGCTCACACGTTTTCCAGAACTAGACCTCGTCCCTGGTAATGCGATTGAGGGGTATCGGAAGGGAGACGACGAAACAGACCTCTAGAATGCACGCTTACGTCGCGTTGGGATCGCTGGTCATACGAGCAGATCACTTTCAAAGAGATTGATTTATCGGTCTTAGCGTAGTGTGCATCCATATGTTGGCTACTACAAAGCGTTGTGGGCAGCATGCTATATTTAAATGAAGTCCGAAGAATTGTTCAGAGCACTATCTGCGACGCGACATCCATTGACAGAGCCCTTGCGTCTATGGAACAAATTGAACGCGTGACATTCAATTATCTGGACTATGACTCACCATCGTCAGCCTCCCGACTATCACAAACCCAAAGCTGAGCAATTGTCGGGTCATGGTCGCTTGCACGGGAGCCTGCTGTCGAAGCCCACGTATTCACGTGTACATGTTCGATGGTCGCCCCACGCGCAAGGACCGCGGACGAAACGAACATGTGATCAATTGCCTGTGCATTTTGATCATAGACGTAGGTGTACCGCTCCTCAGGTGGGATGACGTTCACGTCGGGCTCAAACAGAAGCTCTTGTAGGGATGCGAAGACGGAGCGCGTCTGCACAAATTCGTTGAAGTCACCGGCAGCGACGACGCTGGCGTTCACGTCCTGTGCAAGGATAGACTCGACAAAGTCCTGCCATACCGCATTCAGACGCATAGCTCATCACGACCGAAGATCACGTACTGCAACAACGTTCGCCTGCAATCGTCGCTCTTCGCCATGGCCATTAACAGGCGGTCTCGCATTACCCTGGGGAGACGAGCTGTCACGTTTTGAACGGAAGTGTACATTGACGGTAAAGAATCGTTCTCCGGACGTTGTCTGCCATGCAGCAGCGAGGGGTTTGCGAGTCTCGTCCCATGCCAGGTTTGTTGGATTAACCCTGCCGGGATTTGGACTGTGGGATAGCACCTAGTCAGATTTGCCGATGCGCTATAAACGTGCACTAAATACCTCAGATTTAATCCACCCTTGTCGTGTGTTATTTCAGCTGCCTGAGTAGCATTACCCCTCCCATAGCCTGTAGCGAGGAATACTTTCTCTGGCCTCCATCTAAAAACCCCTAAGGTCAGCCCGCAGAATTTTTGTTCATGGGTAGCCTTACAAGTATGCAACACGAATGTTTCCGCCGGGCTGTCCGCCATCCATGTTGTCTTCAGGATCAACCGATACGAACTCGTATTTCACCCCGCTTGCACGCTGGACAGCGTTTGCCAGTGCAGCAAGTGTACGATTGGCGGAAACCACACCGTCGTTACGAATCCCAGAATCGTCTTGAATTTCCTGGACAAATAGTATGTCCGGGGTATGTAAAAAGTCTGTGATGTGTTTTGCGATGGTAGGAATGTGGTGGGAGCGCGGAGACATATTCTCCACCTAAGTGTAGAATGATCAGTGGATGCGACATCCCAAAAGGCACAGAACTCACGTTGTAGTCACCTATAGTGATCAAGCAAGCGTCTGTACTTGTTGGAAAAGAGGCTGGCAGTGGGGACGCTTCAGGACTTGAGACTATACTTGGAGCCGTAAGAGGTAGGACATAGTAGTACCCATACTTGAGAAATAGTCAGCGAAATACCTTGCTTGCTCGTGTATCCGACGAACCTGGTAAGTGACTACCCCGGTAATGTTACTCAGTATCGCGCCCATGAATGGCTTAGGGTTCCGAGAACCATCCAGTGCGCGCCCAATAAAGATCGCTTCCGGATGTGCGTTAGGTACATCATTCTCATCTATCCCAACAAGTAAGGTTCAAGCAGATGCAGCATGTCGGGAGTAGCATACCAAAAGTGAGCGTCAAGCCACCTCGCTCGTTCTTCCCGGTCACTGCCCAATCACCGTGAACCCAGAAAGAGCCAAACCTATCCGGGAAGTTGAGAGATACAGGGTTCGGGATTGTCACCAGCTGCCCTTCCAAACTTTCCCAGAAGTCTAGGCCGTACTGGTCTGGCTGCAGTGGGGTATCTGCCTCTTGCAAGAGTGTCAAATTGTTGGGTAGTGAAAGCCACCCGTCAAGGCCAGCGTCAGCAGACGAGAGCTTGCCGATAGGAGGGGTGCGATCCACTCCGAGAACAATAGGGAAGAAATCATTCCCTTGGGATAGGTGGTTCATTGTATGAACGAGGTCGATCTCGGTCAGGGTGAGATCGTTCGGGCTATTCTTTGCACGATACTCGGCTACTCGCCCTGCAAGAGACACTAGGTCTCCAACAGCAACTTTGCGCGCCGCGGAAGGGCTGTATACACGAAGGCCAGAGGACTCTCGGATGTCCTCAGAGGGAACTCCGGCGATCCAAAATCCGTACTTATCCTTAGTACGAATGACAGTTACTAACCTGCGACTTTCAGAAACCGGCAATAAGACTCGCTCACTTTCGCAGTAACCACACCAGTGACATCTTGCACATTTTGACCTGCTAGAGGAGACTGGAACCTCGTGCCCTGGATGTCCGTTACACTCACGGCAGGGGCCTTTCCGATGTATTGTACAAAACATAGCGTCAAGAGAAATAGATGAGGGGGTATCATCTTGAGGGATTGACTAGGG